TCGCAGAGCCTCGTCTGATGTTTTTTTTGCAACATTTTGTACGGTTCCTTGGAGTCTTCTGAGTGATAGCCCTCACAGGTAATCTGATATTATACGAACTTCTCCCCACGACCAGCCTGCCCCCATCGGCTATCGGCTATTTTCTTGAGAACGTAGCTGTCTTCACCTTGAACCTTATCCGGAGGTGGAAGCACGATAGCTCGTTGAGGGTCCTTTGACTCCCAATACGGTTCCAGCAGAGATATATGGAGGACATCAAGAATGTTCCACTGAGAGGGTAGATTCAGCCTGTAGGACGTGACACCAAGTTTCCCGACAACCTCAAAGGGACCCGATTTTAGTAATCTAGTTAATTTGATGATCGCTTGGTTAAGATGTTGCGTCGGTCCAGCATCACCTCGTTCCTGACCTTCAGTTCTGGAGCACTCATGTTTCTGATCATACCATTTCTTCCGCTGTTCTTGCGCCGCGCTGGAGGCGTCGAAGTTTTCTAGTTTCCGTTTAAGTGAGGGACTAGTGGAATCTGGTTGAAACCCCTAGTTCGCGTACGACGGCGATACTTTGGTTGACTCTTGGGTGGCCATGTTGTAGGCTTAAATCGGCAAGCGGGAGTAATCTTGCCCAATCGTCCTGCTGATAGAAGCAATAGTTTCTGAGATATTGTTCTAGCGTTCGGTTGACTCTTCTCAGTTTGTCCGTCAGTTTGAGGACGATCTGTTTCAAATCTAGAGTCCCGATCGGAGATAATCTCATCAGGAAATCCATGCAGTCGCCATATCTCCCGTAGGAAGATTTGAGCAGAATGAAGTGGGACATTTTGATGAAACGGTCAACGATTACCCAGATACGGTTATAGACCTCAGATTCAGGCAGGCTCACGATAAAGTCCATTTAGATGGAGCTCCAAGGCATAGAGGGGACCTCTAAAGCTTGCAACGTCCTATACTTCTTGTGTGTTGAGGCCTTAACGCGTTGACATGTATCGCAACTCCGAACGTATGCTTCCACATTGTTGTCCATCTTTAGCCGAAGGAGAGTGCCTGAAGGCATTCTGCCGTTTTGAATTGTCCAAAGTGACCAGCAGTCTTCGAATCATGTAGGGCGCTCAGGATCGTGAGCTCCAGTTCTCGATAGTTTGGAATGTACCACTTTTCCTTATAGAAGACGTCTCCATCCTTTAAAGTGAGGTCTCGGTTCACCAGATTCCCAGATGTGTTCTCAATGGCTTTTTTCAAGGAAAGCTACCCTGGATCTAAGGCTGCTCGAGCCCCGATTTCATCCAGGAGCACCGGTGTGAGTTTTGCAGACTTGGGCTGCTCTTGCCCATGCTGAGTTGATCATAATGATCGGGTATTGGACAGAACCCATTATAAGTTGTCCTGTCTTAAACCAGCGAATTTCAGGGTCTTGATGAGCCTTACCCCCCTCTTTAAGGGCGTGGTCCCAACGCCGCGACAAGATGTCTTCTTTGGCGTTTTAGTTTTCCAGGGCGGTATACAACTTTGAAGCCAAATTCCGCGAGCTTGGCCGCCCCTTGAGCTTGTCTCAGTTTCAGTGCCCTTTTTGATCTGTGGGATTCCGGGGATAACCCCTTGGCAAACCAAGGCTGTAGGAAGTCCAGAGGTGTAACGGGGTAAAGAGAGCACAGCTCGTGCCTGGGTCCGGAAGGAGGGAACTGAGGATCTTATCATTCACTAACTGACCCTCTTTAGCTAGTCGTCCAAATCAGCTGAATAATGCTATTCGGGAAGGAGTCTATTCCCCCCTTGGCTGCGTGGGTGAGGTTCGTCCATTAGGCTACCGCATCATCCCTAGAGATGACTTCTCTGAGATGTATCCACAAAGGAATCCCAGCGCTTTCATCTCTCATCTCACACCACAGACATCCCAGCTATCTGGTTGGCAGAAGCTTGGTCAATGGAGTTGTGGTAAGCCTCATACTACTTGACCGGGATTGCCTGATGAAGGTCCGCACATTATTTACTTTGCCATTGAACTTGGCCGGAGGGAGATGTCTTTGGTTCTCGGCCACTGGAGGAAGTGGAGGGGTGTAAGGGGTGGCCGGAGGTCTCATGAACTGGGCTATGGAGGCCAGGGCTCCCTCTCTCTGCTGCTCCTCCAGCATCTTCCTGAGGTATCTCCGCCATCCTCTCCTATCTCCATCCTCATGCTCTGAATCTGAACTATCTGAGTTCTCTCCTGGGTTGGGAGCGCCACCAACCGGGAGGACTATTCCATCTCCTCCACCATTACCCGCTGGTTCTGGGTTCTGGTTTTTTCACTGGGGTTTCCCTCCGGCTGGAGGTTCCTCCTGGGTAACTTCGCTCGTTAAAGCATGACACAATGGCACCTAACTCCTTGTCCTGAACTTCATAATTCCGTTCGGCTGGCGAATTCCTTTTTTGGAGTAAAAGACTCCTGGATGACACTTATTGTCATCTCAGTGGAATTGGGACAGTATGCTAGATTTGGCGAGGTTGGAGGCATCGGTCTCAACTTTGCTGGCTAGCTCAGCATCAAAGAGGGCTAATACGGGGGTGGATTGGAACGCCTCTTTCAGGACTTCGAACGCACGCACGCCTTCCTCAGACCAGGTAAACTCGGTGTCCTTGTCTCTTCCAACGGTTAATGTCGGGTCGGTTAGAGCCGGACCGAACTCCTGCTACGGGTAACCACGTTGATCCTCGGAACTTGGATAGGAGTTCGCTTATAAAAGCGGGGTACCCATCGAACTTAGGAGGGTAAGAATCCATTCCCTCTATCCATTCCACAAAAATTCGATTTTTTTCCACACACAACACCAAATTTATCACCTCTTCTCAGCAACAATGCTTTTCTTTATTCTATTCCTCTCTTTGTTCATCGCGGTCATTTCGTCTATCGTACAAGCACTTTTATCTAACGCTAGTCGATCTCGCCGGGAGACGAGGCTTAGATCCTCAAGATGTCCGGTTATTACCGATCTCCTAAAGTTGGATGGTGGTAACTCTGTATATGCTCGGAGAGTTACTCGGAAACCTGTCCGATCACGGAGTGCTGTGAGGGAGGCATGGTTTAGTGGGGCTTGTAACCTCCTCTTACTCCCGCTAATGTTTCCACAGACAAGCTGTTCCTCGAGGTTTGGAGACCTCGACCTTCGACGGCCATTTCAACCAGGTTCCGTTTCTGACTCGGGAGGATTTCCATCGTCCTTATCCCTTCTTCCAACAAGGGGACAGGAGTGTTGGTCAGGCTCGTATCCGTGCGGCAGCGAGAGAGAAACGGGAACAGGTGCGGTGGATGCGGGAGGAGATTGAGCGAGATGGGACGGGAGCGGAGTGGATGCGGCAGAGAGTGGCACAAGAAGAGCGGAATGAGAGACAGAAACTGGCACTCGAAGCGCATTACGAGGCATGGTGGCGCCAGAAGAAAGCCAGTTATCCTCCTCTTCCGGACCCTGCCTGTCGTCATAGTGGGCGGAGGGACATTGACTTTGGTTGGGACTGGGGCCCAGATGGGAAATGGGGTCCTCTGATCAATGGGGCTATCAGGATTTTCAAGGAGCGATCCTAGATGTGGTCTCCTTTCGAGCGAAGCTGGACGCTACATCCCTATGAGCGAATGTGGGCGCTATAACCCTTTAAGCGAATGTGGGCGCTATAACCCTTTTGACGAATACAGTGGAGACCATAGTAACATGTTAGCCTCTCCCATGCCAGCCCGAGCTGAATAAAAGAAAGCTAACTGCTTGGTTATTTCAGCGTTGAGAGTGGTCCCAGATGTTCAGCTAGATTTTTTCTTTTTTTTTTTTTTTTTTTTTTTTTTTTTTTTCCCTTTCGTGGTGTTCTTCAAGCGAGGAGCTCAAAGTTATACTGTAACGGGGGTGCTAGGATGGGCACGACCGTGACTTCGATCAAAATAGAAATTGTAAACGGGGAACGATGGGTTATCATTCGGCTCGTTCGAGCGAAAGATGGAGTGTATTTTTTTGATCGTATTTGTAGTCTAGAAACTTAATAACTTTAAGGGGTCTCCTCGCTAGTAAAGATTCCATGACTCCCCGAGTTCAAACTGGGGGCAACCGAGTACTTTTATCGAAGTTCCGCTCCTTTTTTCCCGCTTTTCCTCTCTAGGCCGTCCGTTCCTCCCTAGTCCGGGGACACCCGCGACTTTTTTCTATGAGGGGCGAGAGGAGTTGCTGCCACACCTCGGACGAACTTCCACCCGAGTCAAATCACGCAATCTCTGCCAAGAGCTGGTCGGGATCCTAAGAACTAGCGGAAACAACCGACCAGATAGCAATTGCACAGATTTGGTGTTTTGTAAAGCGAGGTTTGCTTTTAGTAGCTTGGGTCGTACTCCTACTCCCCTCAAAGGTGCACCGGGCTGAAACAGGAGGGTTCCGGCGGTTCGACGCTCCGGGGGTTATTTTTGGGGTCTAAAACGTGTTTATTTTGCAGTGTTTCCTCAACTCCGCAATCCGTTCATTCAACCACCCCAAATGGACCGGAGCATCGTCAAAATCCTTTCTGACGTGGTAAAGCATATTTTCCGAACATCGGTTGCTAAGTTATTGCACCTCAAAGATTGACTTCCAAGGTAGGGCAACTTATGTTTGGGGTTACCCTTCCGTATTTGGCATGCTCGTCCTTCTGCTCTAGTTTTGGTCCAGTCGCCTAGCTTGACTTATAAGACTTCTTGCTCGCCAGGATCCCTACCCTTCATACCAATAGAGGTAGGGGTCATCTGCCCTTATCTTCACCCATCGATGAAGAACAAGCGGTGATTACCCTAGGGTCGTATGGCTTGACTGGTAGAACAGGTACTTTTGTAACAGCCCTAATGTGGCTCTGTTACAGAGGCCAATACTGAAAACAGGACTGTCATGGACGGTCAAGAATGAAGTTGAAGACGCCCAGGGGACATTCGTCTTTGACACCGGTTGTACAGGAACAATCCTCAAACAGAGTTTTGTCAGGAAGTATGGAGTTCCCTTAGTGCGGCGAGATCAACCTCTGACAATGTATGATGCTCAAGGAGATGTCATAATCGGCGGAGGAGAGTATTACACTCACCCAGTCCACATGAGCATGGGAGATCACAAGGAGACATTCCGATGGGAGGTGGCTACTTTGGAAGAAGGAATATCTGGTTACCTGCCAATTGCATGGGCAAGGAAGCATAACCCAGATATCAATTGGGAATTCAATACCATAAACTGTCGAAGTGACTACTGCAAGCAGAATTGTCTCCAAGCAGCGATCAAGTTTGCACTCATCTCTTCATACCAGATGATCGAGGAAGAAGATGTAGTATATCAACTAGCCACTTCAGTATGGCATGATGAGGATGGAGGAGATATCGCTGAAAGTATACCTCTTCGCTATAGGGAATGGGCTGATGTCTTCAGTCAAGAGAAGATACAGGAGCTGCCTCCGCACTCCCGAAATGGTATGAGGATCAATCTCTTGCCTGTGACCGCTCCCCCATTTGGCCCGCTTTATCCATGTTCCGCTCCAGAGTTGAAGGCCCTCCGGGAGTACCTAGACAAAGAGTTGTCTTTGGGAAAGATCTCCAGATCTAACAGCCCAGCAGCGTCACCCATATTGTTCATACCTAAGAAGGATGGGACATGGCGAATTTGTGTTGACTACAGAGGTTTGAACAAGGTCACTGTCAAGGACAAGTACCCGCTGCCTATCATGAGCGAGCTCAGGGATAGGTTGTTCAAGGCCAAGATCTTCACAAAGATAGACCTGAAAAATGGCTTCAATTTGATCAGGATAGCAGAGGGGCATGAATGGAAAACCGCTTTCAGAACCCGCTATGGACTGTATCAGTATAATGTGATGCCATTTGGTCTATGCAACGCTCCTTCCGCCTTCCAGGCAATGATCAATGATGTGCTAAAGGAACTACTGGATGAAGGAGTGGTTGTTTATATTGATGACATCCTCATCTACTCAGAGACCGAGGAAGAGCATGAAAGGCTGGTTGAGAAGGTCCTACAGAAGCTCAGGGAAGCAAAACTGTGTGCCTCCATCAGTAAGACATCCTTCCACGTCCGAGAAGTAGAGTACCTTGGCTATCACATCTCGGAAAAGGGAGTATCTATGTCAGAGGACAAGATAGAGGCGGTTCAGGAATGGCCAGTACCCCGGAACTTCAAGGGAGTACAAGGTTTCCTGGGATTTGCAAACTTCTATCGCCGCTTCATTGAAGGCTTCAGTAAAGTCTGCAAACCACTGACCGACCTCTTGCAAAATGACAAGAAATGGTATTGGACCGCAGCTTGTGAACAAGCATTTGAGGAACTCAAGAGGCTATTCACAAGCGCTCCAATCCTTCTCCATTTTGACCCTAGCAGAAGAACTGTGGTTGAGACTGATGCCAGTGACTTTGCCAAAGGAGTGGTGCTCTCTCAGTTTGGGGAAGTGTAACGGGGGTGCTAGGATGATACACGACCGTGACTTCGATCTGACATAGAAAGGGTAAACGGGCAACGATGGATTCATTGGGCTCGTTCGATCGAAAGATGGAGTTTATTTGTTTGATCGTATTTGTAGTCTAAAAAACTTAATAACTTTAAGGGGTCTCCTCGCTAGTAAAGATTCCATCCCTCCCCGAGTTCAAACTGGGGGGGCAACCGAGTACTTTTATCGAAGTTCCGCTTTTTTTTTTTTCCCTCGACCCTTCGTTTTTTCCCCCTAGTCCGGGGACACCGCGACTTTTTTCTATGAGGGGCGAGAGGAGTTGCTGCCACCCCTCGGACGAACTTCCGCCCGAGTCAAATCACGCAATCTCTGCCAAGAGCTGGTCGGGATCCTAAGAACTAGCGGAAACAACCGACCAGATAGCAATTGCTTATTCAATTTGTTTTAGAACAGATTTGGTGTTTTTGTAAAGCGAGGTTTGCTTTTAGTAGCTTGGGTCGTACTCCTACTCCCCCTCAAAGGTGCTCCGGGCTGAAACAGGAGGGTTCCGGCGGTTCGACGCTCCGGGGGTTATTTTTGGGGTCTAAAACGTGTTTATTTTGCAGTGTTTCCTCAACTCCGCAATCCGTTCATTCAACCACCCCAAATGGACCGGAGCATCGTCAGGATCCTTCCTGACGTGGTAAAGCATATTTTCCCAGCATCGGTTGCTAAGTTATTGCACCTCAAAGGTTGACTTCCAAGGTAGGGTAACTTATGTTTGGGGTTACCCTTCCGTATTTGGCATGCTCGTCCTTCTGCTCTAGTTTTGGTCCAGTCGCCTAGCTTGACTTATAAGACTTCTTGCTCGCCAGGATCCCTACCCTTCATACCAATAGAGGTAGGGGTCATCTGCCCTTATCTTCACCCATCGATGAAGAACAAGTGGTGATTACCCTAGGGTCGTATGGCTTGACTGGTAGAACAGTTACTTTTGTAACAGCCCTACTGTGGCTCTGTTACATCCATTCCCTCTATCCATTCCACAAAAATTCGATTTTTTCCACACACAAAACCAAATTTATTACCTCTTCTCAGCAACAATGCTTTTCTTTATTCTATTCCTCTCTTTGTTCATCGCGGTCAATTCGTCTATCGTACAAGCGCTTTTATCTAACGCTAGTCGATCTCGCCGGGAGACGAGGCTTAGATCCTCAAGATGTCCGGTTATTACCGATCTCCTAAAGTTGGATGGTGGTAACTCTGTATATGCTCGGAGAGTTACTCGGAAACCTGTCCGATCACGGAGTGCTGTGAGGTAGGCATGGTTTAGTAGGGCTTGTAACCTCCTCTTACTCCCGCTAATGTTTCCACAGACAAGCTGTTCCTCGAGGTTTGGAGACCTCGACCTTCGACGGCCATTTCAACCAGGTTCCGTTTCTGACTCGGGAGGATTTCCATCGTCCTTATCCCTTCTTCCAACAAGGGGACAGGAGTGTTGGTCAGGCTCGTGTCCGTGCAGCAGCAAGGGAGAAACGGGAACAGGTGCGGTGGATGCGGGAGGAGATTGAGCGAGATGGGAGGGGAGCGGAGTGGATGCGGCAGAGAGTGGCACAAGAAGAGCGGAATGAGAGACAGAAACTGGCACTCGAAGCGCATTACGAGGCATGGTGGCGCCAGAAGAAAGCCAGTTATCCTCCTCTTCCGGACCCTGCCTGTCGTCATCGTGGACGGAGGGACATTGACTGTGGTTGGGACTGGGGCCCAGATGGGAAATGGGGTCCTCTGACCAATGGGGCTATCAGGATTTTCTAGGAGCGGTCCTAGATGTGGTCTCCTTTCGAGCGAAGCTGGGCGCTATATCCCTTTGAGCGAATGTGGGCGCTATAACCCTTTGACGGATACAATGGAGACCATAGTAACGTGTTCGCCTCTCCCATGCCAGCCCGAGCTGAATAAAAAAAAGCTAACTGCTTGGTTATTTCAGCGTTGAGAGTGGTCCCAGATGTTCCGGTAAAATTTTTTCCTTTCGTCGGGGTTCTTTAAGCGAGGAGCTTAAAGTTATACTGTAACGGGGGTGCTAGGATGATACACGACCGTGACTTTGCTCTGACATAGAAAGGGTAAACGGGCAACGATGGATTCATTGGGCTCGTTCGATCGAAAGATGGAGTTTATTTGTTTGATCGTATTTGTAGTCTAAAAAACTTAATAACTTTAAGGGGTCTCCTCGCTAGTAAAGATTCCATCCCTCCCCGAGTTCAAACTGGGGGGGCAACCGAGTACTTTTATCGAAGTTCCGCTTTTTTTTTTTTCCCTCGACCCTTCGTTTTTTCCCCCTAGTCCGGGGACACCGCGACTTTTTTCTATGAGGGGCGAGAGGAGTTGCTGCCACCCCTCGGACGAACTTCCGCCCGAGTCAAATCACGCAATCTCTGCCAAGAGCTGGTCGGGATCCTAAGAACTAGCGGAAACAACCGACCAGATAGCAATTGCTTATTCAATTTGTTTTAGAACAGATTTGGTGTTTTTGTAAAGCGAGGTTTGCTTTTAGTAGCTTGGGTCGTACTCCTACTCCCCCTCAAAGGTGCTCCGGGCTGAAACAGGAGGGTTCCGGCGGTTCGACGCTCCGGGGGTTATTTTTGGGGTCTAAAACGTGTTTATTTTGCAGTGTTTCCTCAACTCCGCAATCCGTTCATTCAACCACCCCAAATGGACCGGAGCATCGTCAGGATCCTTCCTGACGTGGTAAAGCATATTTTCACAGCATCGGTTGCTAAGTTATTGCACCTCAAAGGTTGACTTCCAAGGTAGGGTAACTTATGTTTGGGGTTACCCTTCCGTATTTGGCATGCTCGTCCTTCTGCTCTAGTTTTGGTCCAGTCGCCTAGCTTGACTTATAAGACTTCTTGCTCGCCAGGATCCCTACGCTTCATACCAATAGAGGTAGGGGTCATCTGCCCTTATCTTCACCCATCGATGAAGAACAAGTGGTGATTACCCTAGGGTCGTATGGCTTGACTGGTAGAACAGTTACTTTTGTAACAGCCCTACTGTGGCTCTGTTACAGAAGATGAGGATCAGGGCAGTTGGGCGAGAATGATCCTGAGTACTTATACTCCAAAGGACTCTATTCTCTGCTGTTACTTCCTTACTAAGTTCCGGCGCTGCCTTCCAGCGGAAAGGGAAGCAATACCATCGCTACCCCGCTTCTCTCTAAGCGTCAGCGAGTGCTTCCGGCTCCGAAGGCAACCGCCCTTAGTCAAAGCCTTTGTAACACCTGCAGCCTTTGTTGCCACACAACTGGGGCCTGCATGAATGAGCTGCCGCTCAGGTGTAAGCTTAGTCATTGCTGTAGAGCTTTCGCTTATTGTAGACTTCCCAGGCATAGTCCCTTCCATTACCGGCGGACTTCCAATGCTCAGAGGACATAGAGGATCGCCGAGCATTCAGAGCTTCACCCTGGCTGACCTTCTACTCATTGGCGAGGCATAGACTCGTCAATCATTGCTCCCATGAGTAGATCCTCTTCCTAGCGCTCAGAATGTAGTTACTCTGACAGCTGGTAGCTAACCACACTGCCGGTACTTGCATGTCGCTGTGCAACTGGCTTCTAACAATAACTCTCAGCATGTAACCGGGCCCTGTGTGTACTCATACACCAGACAGTTGAAATGGCTCCGTTACACTATCTACGGCAGCTAAAAAGGATGGAATCTGGCAGGAACTGCACCGCTTACTGGTTGAAAGGAAACCAAATTTGGACCAGAACTTGTCTGTCAAGGACTGTCTCATCTTCTACAAGAATCGATGGTATATTCCCAAAGACAAGAAGCTTCAGATGGATATCCTGACTGATACCCATGACTCTGAAGTGGCAGGCCATTTCGGCCAGTTCAAGACATTAGAGCGGGTGAAAAACAACTTCTTTTGGCCCAACATGGATAAAGATGTTGAGGAATATGTCCCGAGCTGTGACAGCTGCCAGAGGAATAAGACCTCAAGACATAAGAAGTTTGGTATGCTCCAACCACTGGAGATACCTTATTGGACATGGACCTCCATCTCTATGGACTTCATTGTGGGATTACCGGGGTCAAATGGGTTTACAAAGATCTGGGTAATAGTGGACCGCTTGTAACGGCAATATTGCATTTCGGCTAAGGTGATAGATTGGATTGGGAAGAGGAGGTATTGCGCGGTTGAACTATGATTTGTAATGGGGTTTCTGTTATGTTCTTTCGGTTTCCGTTACGCGGGGCATTAGTCATCAATGGACTAGGAGTTGAATATATAAGGGGGCGTTGTCTCGTGCCTTTTGATGTTTTCCTTCCTTTCCTCTTCTTCTCACGGAACTTCTTGTATCTACTCCACGAATATTACTTTTGTTCTACGCCTCGTCATAGGGTTCAACTAGTTGTCATACTAGGTAGAGCCACTCCATAGCCCATAGCCTTGAATACCTATTGCCACGTTCTTGCCTCGGTTGTATTCCTTGGCATCATAGTCCCTACGTACATAGACCACCTTTACACCATGTTCCGTCCTCTATTGCCAACCAATACAACACCATAGTCTACCATGGCGACACATCTTCCTATTGATTACGAACAGCTAAGCGATGCCCCTCAGACCTTTTTTCAAGAACACCCAGAGGTGGATGGCAATGTTGGAATAGAAGCCTATGCACTTCTTCAACGGGCACAACATGGCCTTACTCAGTATGCAACGGACTTACAGGAGGTGGAGAGGGAGGCTGGAAATGCGAGGGAAATGTTTGAACGAGATCTAGCCGCTGCCAGAGGCCATCGAGTTGCTGTTGAAGTGGTTGCCCCTGATGAAGAACCAATCGGAGAAGATAATGCCCCACCGGTACCTCCAGTTCCACCTGTCCCAGTGGTTACCCAACGGTCGGAAAAACTCCCAGACCCTGAAGTATTTAGGGGAGATCGCGATCGAGAAAGACTACACCTATTCAAGCAACAGATGAGGATCAAGCTATTGGGAAATGCCGACCGCTTTCCCACACTACAGTCTAAGTTATCCTATGCATTCAGCCGATTGGAGGGTGTTGCCGCCAATCAGTTCTTACAATATGTCGGAGAAGAAGGTATCGCTTCGCCTTCCATGTTACGGTGTTATGAAATCTTGGATACTGCTTTCGGGGACCCCGATCGAATGCGTACGGCTAGGAGGAATCTTAGAAACATCCGTCAACGAAACCGAACCTTTGCTGATTACTTCGCCGAATTTCAACGGTATGCTGCCGAGTCAGGGATGGATGAAGTCTCTAGGATTGAGGCTCTGATGGAAGGCGTTAGTGCGGAACTCGATGAATCAATGATACACCATGAAAGTCCTACGACGGTAGATGCATGTGCGACACTCTTGCAACGGTTAGATAATCGACGACGAGCGGCAGAAGCTAAGCGAGGAAATAAAAAGCCTTGGAATGCTACTGCTGCTCCGACCCCTCGCCCCCCACCGGGGAATCCTGTGTAACGGGGGTGCCTTGAAAGGGCGCGACCGTGACTTCGATCAGGTAGATAGGCAGAAAGGAATTCGACAAGCTATCCTTTCGGCTCGTTCGATGGAAAGATAGAGTTTCATTTGTTTGATCGTTATTTGTAGTCTAGAAACTTAATAACTTTAAGGGGGCTCCTCGCTGGTAAAGACTCGCTGATCCCCCCGAAACCAAGCTGGGGCAACCGAGTTCCTTTATGGAAGTTCGGCGCCCCTTCCTTCATTACCTCTTTCCTTTTTTCACTGGCCGTCCGCCTTTCAAATAATCTGGGGGCACCACCTATTTTCTATCAGGGGGGAGGAGAAGAGTTGCTACCACACCGCGGACGAATTTTCGTCCGAGTCAAATCTCGCAATCCTTGCCAAGAAAGGGTCGGGATCCTAGGAACTAGAGGAAACAGCCGACCAGACAGCAATTGCTTATTCAGAGTATTTAGAATAGATTTGGGTGTTTTTAAAGCAAAGGTTTGCTTTGGTAGTTTGGGTCGCACTCTTACTCCCCCCAAAGATGCACCGGGCTGAAACAGGAGGGTTCCGGCGGTTCGACGCTCCGGGGGTTATTTTTGGGGGTCTAAAACGTGTTTATTTTGCAGTGTTTCCTCAACTCCGCAATGCGTTCATTCAACCACCCCAAATGGACCGGAGCATCGCCAGGATCCTTTCTGACGTGGTAAAGCATATTTTCCGGGCATCGGCTGCAAAGTTATTGCGCCTCAAAGGTTGAATGCCAAGGTAGGGTAACTTATGTTTGGGGTTACCCTTCCTTATTTGGTCTGCTCGTCCTGCTGCTCTAGTTTTGGTCCAGTCGTCTAGCTTGACTTGTAAGACTTCTTGCTCGCCAGGATCTCTACCCTCTATACCAATAGAGGTAGGGGCTCATCTGCCCTTCTCTTCACCCATCGATGAAGAACCAGCTGCGGTTAACCTAGGGCCGTATGGCTTGACTGGTAGAACAGGTATTTTTGTAACAGCCCTACTGTGGCCCTGTTACACTACTCCTCCCTCCGGTAGACTCGTCCCGAGTCTAACCTAGGGTTTTTGGTATGGTACGTTATGAGCATACAAGAAAATGTAGCTCTAATAATCATTCCATACAAACTCAATGTAACGGGGACAGCCTTTCCTCGTATCGCTAGAATCTGAGAGAAAGGATTTGGCCGTGCAAGATAGAAATCAGGAAATCGGATAGTTGGGCGGGAAGGATCCTGAGTACTTATACTCCAAAGGATTCCATTCCCTGCTCCTACTCCCTTACTAAGTTCTGGTGATCCCTTCTAGCGGAAGGGAAGCAATACCACCGCTACCCCGCTTCTCTCTAAGCGTTAGCGGGTGCTTCCGGTTCCGAAGGCAACCACCCTTAGTCAAAGCCTTTGTAACACCTGCAGTCTTGATTGTCGCACAACCGGGACCTGCATGAATGAGCTACCGCTCAGGCGTAAGCTTAAATCATTGCTGTAGAGCTCTTCACTTATTGTAGACTTTCCCAGGCATAGTCCCTGCCACTACCGGCGGACTTATCATGCTCAGAGGATGTAGAGGATCGCCGAGCACTCAGAGCTTCACTCTGGCTGGCCTTCTAATCATTGGCGAGGCATAGACTCGTCAATCATTGCTCACATGAATAGATCCTCTTCCTAGCGCTCAGAATGTAGTTACTCTGACAGCTGGTAGCTAACCACACTGCCGGTACTTGCATGTCACTGTGCAACTGGCTTCTATCAATAACTCTCAGCATGTAACCGGGCCCTGTGTGTACTCATACACCAGACAGTTGAAATGGCTCCGTTACACTCTATTTTTTGCATCCATTTCTATTGACAAAGGAAACCTCAAGTGAAACGTGTGACCTAACAAGGGGAGACTCGTTTTCTCCACGCTTATCCCAGAACACTCCGTCGTCTCGGTTTCCCGCACTTTCCTGTATTACCATGCGTCCCATGATTTTCGGGGATACTTCGCATGGAACTCTCGGAGTGGCTCGTCTGCCATTCCTTACAACAATTTGTACGGTTCCCAAGAGTCTTCTGAGAGATAACCCTCCCAGGTAATCCGATATTGCACGAACTTCTTCCCACGACCAGCCTGCTGTCATTGGCTATCGGCTATTTTCTTGAGAACGTAACTGTCTTCCCCTTGAACCTCATCCGGAGGTGGAAGCAGTATAGCTCGTTGAGGGTCCAGCAGAGATATATGGAAGATATCATGAATGTTCCACTGAGTGGGTAGATTCAGCCTGTAGGACGCGACGCCAAGTTTCCCGACAACCTCAAAGGGACCCAATTTTTTTTTTTTTTTTTTTTTTTTGGTGGTCTAGCTTATTTGAGGGTCACTTGGTTAAGATGTTGCATCGGTCCAGCATCACCTCGTCCCTAACCTTCAGTTCTGGAGCACTCATCTGTTTCTGATCATACCATTTTTTCTGCCGTGCTTGTGCCGCGCTGGACGCGTCGAAGTTGTCTAGTTTCCGTTTAAGTGAGGGCCAAGTGGAATCTGGTTGAAACCTATAGTTCGCGTAGAATGGCGATGCTTTGGTTGACTCTTGGGTGGCCGTGTTGTAGGCGTACTTGGCAAGCGGGAGTAACTCTGCCCAATCGTCCCGCTGACAGAAGCAATAGTTTTTTGAGATACTGTTCTAGCGTTTGGTTGACTCTCTCAGTTTGCCCGTCAGTTTGAGGACGATATGTTTCGAATCTAGAGTCCTGATCGGAGATAATCTCCTCAGGAAGTCCATGCAGTCGCCATATCTCCCGGAGGAAGATTTGAGCAAGTTCTTCGATGGTTGCTTTGGTGATAAAGTCCATTGAAATGGAACTCCAAGGAATAGAGAGGACCTCTAAAGGTTGCAACATCCCTTTCTTCTTGTGTGTTTGAGGCTTTAGCGCGTTGACATGTATCGCAACTCTGAACGTATTCTTCCACATCGTTGTCCATCTTTTGGCAAAGGACAGTGCCCGAAGGCGTTCTGCCGTTTTGAATTGTCCAAAGTGACCAGCAGTCTTCGAATCATGTAGGGCGCTCAGGATCTTGAGCTTCAGTTCCCGATGATTTGGAATGTACCACCTTTCCTTATAGAAGACGTGTCCGTCCTTTAAAGTCAGGTATCGGTTCACCAGATTCCCAGAGGTGTTCTCAATGGCTTTTTTCAAAGAAAGGTACTCTGGATCTAAGGCTGCTTGAGCCCAGATTTCATCCAGGAGCACCGGTGTGAGTTTGCAGATTTGGGCTGATCTTGCACATGCTGAGTTGATCATAACGATCGGGTGTTGGACAGAACCCATTATAAGTTGTCCTGGCTTAAACAAGAATTTCAGGGTCTTGATGAGCCTTACCCCCTCTTTAAAGCGTGGTCCCAACGCCGCGACAAGATGTCTGGTTTGGCGTTTTTAGTTTTCCAGGGCGGTATACAACTTTGAAGTCAAACTCCGCGAGGTTGGCCGCCCATCGAGCTTATCTCGGTTTCAGCGCCCCCCCCCTTTTTTTTTTTTTTTTTTTTTTTTTTTTGCTGGTTGGTGACGACCGTGACCGTATCTTTGTAGGAACGCAGAAGGTGACTCCGGGGGTGGTGTACCTCTATGGGATTCCGGGGACAACCCCTTGGCGAACCCAGGCTGGAGGAAACCCAGAGGTGTAACGGAGGTAAAGCGAGCCCAACTCATGCCTAGGTTCGGAAATATGGGAACTGAGGATCTTATCATCCACTAACTGACCCTTGGCTGTGAGGGTAAGGGCCTTCCATTGGGCTGCCGCATCATCCCTAGAGATAGCTTCGCCAAAGGCTGCTCTGAGAGCATCCACAAAGGAATCCCAGCACTTCCATTTCTCATCTAACACCACAGACATCCCAGCTATCCGGTTGGCAGAAGCTTGGTCAATGGAGCTGTGGTAAGCCTCATACCAGTTGGCTGGGGCTTCTCCTTCCATCAGGTTACCAGCATATCGGATCCTAACCTCTTCGTAGGTAAAGAACTGGCTTTCAATGGAGAAGACATTCTCACATTGCCTGATGAAGGTCTCCACATTGTTTGCTTTGCCATTGAACTTGGCCTGAGGGTGTGCCTTTGGTTCTCGGGCCCTGGAGGCAGCGGAGGGGTGTGAGGGGGCCGGAGGTCTCATGAACTGTGTCATGGAGGCCAGGAGCTCTGTCTGCTGCTTCTCCAGCATCTTCCTGAGGTATCTCCGCCATCCTCTCCTATCTCCATACTCAGGCTCCGAATCTGAACTATCTGAGTCCCCTCCCGGGTTGGGATCGCCACCAACCGGGGGGACTATTCCAT